GGCCTGCCACTAAGGAACCTGCACAGCACGACAGGACAGCAACATCAGTCACTCGCAAAAGGCAGCTCGCTGGTGTGGTCAGAGCCAGCTCATCATCAAGCAGCTCTGGAGAATAAGTGGTATCCTCCGGTAGAAATTCAAGCCTCGATATAAACTAACTACTACAAAAGTTTTTTCAAAGCTGAACGGAACAGTATTCAGTATTATGTGTACTTTAAAGGGCTACTAAACCCCCCCAAGAAATGGCCAGCAATATTTGGTTTTATCTTTAAATGGGAACATGTCCAGGTTAGATACCAACTCAGGCAAAAATACCTTTTCTCCTGCTAGGTGTTTTCTTTCTAAAACTCAAAGGACCCTCTCCTCCCCACAGACAAATACAACTTCTGAAACCTTCTAGATATTTCTTTCTAAATGCAGAAACTGAAATGTCAGTACATACCAAATATCCCAGTTCTACTCTTTGAAAAAGTGCCTTTGCAGGGTAACTGCGGTTAGAAAACTAGAAACCTTATAGGGGTCCGTTCTTCACTGTTTTCTGAAATTCAACTCCTCGTGAATTCGTGCCATTGTTTTCATTTCTGCATAGCTGCATTCGCATGACTGACCTATCTTATTAAAGTTTGGAAATTAAGTGTCACTTTTTAGTATTTCAAACACTAATTATAATTAAAGATCAGCTCATTTCCAAGAAAATAAATCACTTAATTTCTTTTCTGGTTAACCAGATGAATTACAGGCGTTCCAGCACAGTTAACTATTTTCGAGCAACGTGACAATGAAAACTGCTTATCATTAGAATAAAGAGTATTGCTACAACTCCCTTTAATCACACTGAATATGCTAGTATCTTTTACATTCATTTGATTACCTCACGCTTTAACGTTTCTGATTGTTGATGAGTGAAGAGGGCTGTCCCAAAGTTGGACGGGATTATCAGCCCTCCAGCGAGTTTGCGGCACAGCGGGGTCCAGGAAGCTCAGCAGAGAGCCTTGTGAGACCCAGGGAAGGCACAATTCCCAATTGCTGCCTCCAGACTGCAAGGGGAATGGGGATAACTCTTTGGGATAGAGAGCAGAGCCCCGAAGGGAAAACCTCGCAGTGCTTTCCCTCCAGATGAGCCTGCCAGCTGCTCCGGGACCACTGCTGAGTGGAATAAAACCAGCCTTTGGCATCCATCGCTGCTGAGCTGGATATAAGGCACAAATGTACACCCCATCAATGATTAAAGAGAGAAGCCTCATCTTAACGTGGAGGGAATTATGGTCGCCATTTCCAGAGTTATTCCTGCTAAAATAGACCCAGCCTCAGGACTCTGAGTGACAAGAGAGAAGAGCATAGCTGGGGATCAGCAACCAAATCACGCCATGCTACACAGACGTCTCAATCACTTCCAGATCAGATTCCTGAGGCACAGCTGATTGCACTGTAATCCTTTAACCCAAAACACCACTGAATTTTGGGACTGTGACTGTGGGAGAGAGTGCAAAAGTTGGAGGCATGGGTGTAAATCTTGGTTGTCCCAAGCTGAGCCTCCCACGCTTGTAAGTCAAAGCACTAATAAAAGCTTGAAAGCTATCACCAGGTCATTTGCATCTCCTTTGTTTATTCATATTTGAGAACAAGCTTCGAAGATGCTTCAGTTATTAATGCCAGCAGATACTGCTTTTATACTAGCAGTCTGTATAAAATACTGGAAACATTTTATTGCAAGTAATATTCCTTTCTCATCTGGAGACATAGTATAGCACAGTTTTTGAAAATGTTTTTTTTTGGTCTAAATGTTTTCTAGCTTACGACCTAACTTTTAAACATCAAAACACTCTTGTGTATGAAACAAGCTTTAATAGAAGAAAACAGCAATTTAAGAGGTCGGTGATCCTATTTAGAAACCAGAATTAATTATCTAAAGGTTAGATTTTCTACAAAAACCTTGCCAAAGACAGGAGTCAAAGATAAGATCAAGGAAATATGATGTTACGGTTAGTAACTGAGCACACGTAGGGAATATTATTAAGGAATCAGTGTATTACTGGCTGCTCAATGGTCACCCCATTTGCGATCCTACACTTGAGGAATTAAGTACTGCAAGTCACATTCACTGAAGACGGCTCGCTAAATCAAAACCAGCATCACCATTATATCTTCATGATAGGTTATACTGTTTGTATCCTCTAAGTTGTTCCTCCTCCTACTTTTCCATTTGCTGTTTTTTAAGTAGTTGCACTCAGAGGCTTCCAGTGGGATACAGGCTCCTTTAATACAGGATCCTTTAATAATTCCTATTCTGCATCTAGGATTTATTTGAGTGGTAACCACTTCGTTATTTCCCATTGAAAAGACATTTGATGTCACTGGTGATACAGATTTCCTAGCAAGCAGACTTTCAGAGTGATGTGATTCCCTCCATTTCTCCGCCCCATCCAACAGATGCCTTCAGCATCTTCTGTCTCCTGGCCAAGTCAGACAGGTCGGCTCCCCCCCCCCCCTCGAGTCCCCGTGGATTGACAAAGAAAAAATTCAGTTAATTTTAGAGCCACTTCTGATTTACCTGGAGTGGCATCTTCTGGGATGTCAAAGGAATACACCGGCTTGGAGAACTTGGGGATATGGTCATTAACATCGCTAACAGTGATGTTTATTCTCATGTCTGAGGACTGCAGGCCGTCATCGGCACGAACCAGTAAGGAGTACTTGGAGCGTCGCTCCCGGTCCAGGCGCTTGGTGGCTATCAGGTCTCCTGACTCGGGGTCAATGTGGAAGCTATCATCCGCACCGCTGATAATAGTGTATGTGACGAGGGCATTGGCTCCCTAAGTAAAAACAGAAGTGGTCAAATCAAGTTATTTGCCAGGAAAACCACATAATAATTTTCAGTAAGACAAGAATCGTTCCAGTAACTGCACTAGGCGAATACTTTTCAGAACAGTTTCCTTTAATAAACAGCCTTCCTGCCCAGTCCCTGCTTCAGTCCCTCAGTAAAGATGCATACGCACACAGTCTTTATTTATGAGACGTGAAATGACGAGACTACCCAGATACTTTTTGCTCCACTGTTCATAAAGCATCTAGTCAACACCATAAAGCTCTGATGCCTCTTAACGTCAAGCCAGCACCACTGAGCAGTGCAACATCTTCCCACTATACTTTTTGCTCCACTGTTCATAAAGCATCTAGTCAACACCATAAAGCTCTGATGCCTCTTTTAACGTCAAGCCAGCACCACTGAGCAGTTCAACACCTTCCCACTTAACAGCGATCAGTGTTTATTCTTCTTGTTTTATGTTCAAAGGTTAAATTGAATCCCTGCCAGTGGGATCAGCTCTACCTGTCTGGCTCTCTGGAGGTGGGACGGAGGGAGGGATGCAGGGAGGAAGTTTTTTCCCCCCCAGCCAGCAGGCATGGCAAGAGCTGCAGCTCCTGCTCAGGAGAAACTCCCGGGAGCTGTGCTTGCATAAGCCCCTCAAAGGCCAGTTTCTGCATGGAAATATATTTACCCCTGTAAAAAAAGAGCCTCCAAGTGACAAATCATGTGTCATTAAAATCACAGTTCTGATCTCTTGGGTTGTGCTGGAAGTCAAAAGCATTTGCTTTCGGATCAAACTATGTATCTCATTCGTCCTTGGAAAAAAAGAATTCATGTGGACTTTGAGCATTTCGGTTACAAAGAAAATTAAGGAAAAGCAATGTTGCACAGAAAAATGATCACTTTTTTTTTCCACTTAAGGTTTTAATTTAAACCATAGGAAAAAAATATGAAAACTTCCACTAAAAAAAATAATACTGACACAGTGCATTTTGCCTCAGCCCTGCCCTGTCACAAACACTGAGAAAAGTCCCCCACATCCAGTCTGTATCACTGATTATCAACAAGAACATTGATCCGCCTTACAGATCTTAGCTCTGAGGAGTACTGAATTTCCTAGAAAAAGGGATGCTACCTGAGCTCTGTTTGCATCCACCTCCTGGGGAGGGGCTGTGCATCACAAGGCTGCAGCCCGAGGGTGCTCCAGGGGACAGAAGCAGCTGCCTACAGCGGGCAGCTTGAGAGACATTTACCCCAAAAGCCCATACTCAGCTATGAATTTTGCTTCTTAGCAGACTAATGTTGGTCTTTAAGGGAAAACAGAAAGAGACCTAAGATCCTGGGGTCACATCCTTCTTTTTCCAAGACAGGCTTACGGGCACGGAAGGTTTGGTAACCTCCAACATAGGATGCATGTACCTATAACCCACGCGCTGACTATGCCCGGCAATGCATTTTGGTGGGCTAGCAGGTATTTACCGTGCTCTCCCCTGGTGCCAGGCCAGAGCTCAGCTTTCACAGCTGAAACCTGCTGCTGGCACGTGAGTGGCACTTCTGCGGTGAACAACAGATCAAAAAGATCAGGGAGGAAGAAATTCTATAGCTGCGTCAAACACTCTTGCCTAAAAAAGCAAATTAACACAGATAAACACCTGCTCGTATATGTGAGATGAGACAAGCGCGAGTTACCTGACCTTGTACGAGTGACTCGTGCCAAACTTTTTCTCTGGGGTGTTATTTCAAAGAGTCGGACCACGCTAACTGATAAAATGGAATTTAGAAAGAAAACAAGCTTCTACAGGTGCCCAGCCCCGAAAAGCTGCATGCAGTGCTTAGCATACACATCATCTGTGTGCTCAGGTGTACCTGGAGGACACCACATGCCTTCCTCCAATTGTGCAGCTTAGCAAAAACATCTGATGAGAATTTCAGATTTCAGAGGTGACCACATTCTTTGCCACTTGGTTGACGAGCCAGCATCCTCCTAATAGAGTGCAGCTAAAACCACAGCCACGTGTGATATTAGTTTAATCAAAGTAGTAACTTTACATGAGTTAGATGAGAAGCAAAACAAAATAAAGGTATGTAAAACCTATTAAAAAGCCGTATAGAAATTCCCCATCAACAACTGACTTTAAAAAGTTGCAAAGTGCTAGAAGCTGTTATAATAGTTAACGCCTTTGGTACCCCTTAACACCTAGAGAACGTCTTTACAACTTTTCTCAGATCTACGATGTCCTTATTATAACAGACAAGGGCTTGAAATTTGCTGCCTTCATACCACCATTTAAAAATATTTGTAAGAGGAGTTCTTGTACACCACTCAGCCATGAGTTTTAAGGGTTCTGTCCCTTACCCTTTTGAGCTAAAACTTAGAATCTGAAAGCATCTGTACGTGTAGCAAAGGCAGCATGCCGTTTTACTGAGCTGCAAATATGGGTTGCATGTGCAAAGCAGCCAGAAAAGCGTAACGTTGCAGGAATATTATATGAAAAACAAGTATTCACTGTGCCCTCAACTTCAAAGGCGGGGGTAAGATAAGTATTTCAACCCTAAACTGCACATTGCTAAAAAACCTTGGACTCTTTGTAAAAGGTTTGAGTTACAAACGTTGTGGTAGGAAAATTGAAATCATGCCTTTCTGTAAAAAGATTGACTGATTTCTGTCTAGGGTAACAAATAAATTCCCACTTGATGGAGTGCTTTAGAATGGATAATGTATTAGGTGCAGTTTAGGAATGGTCAAAAAGAGGCTGGAGCACGATATATTGCTAAAACTTAGAGATCTGTTCACCATATCGCAGCAGAGAGTGGTAGTTCAATATTTACTTCTTCCTAATCTGAAGACAAATGGCTGGAACTTTTGTTACAGATATGCAGCTTTCCAAAATCCTATTTTTTGTCTGTATGTCAGGCTGCTACCAGAAAATAGGGGGAAACCCAAAAAATTCATAATCACATTCGTACTATTCCTGGAGGTGTTCCAGTGGTTCCCTCCATAGTAATAAGATTAAGTACACCAATTAACAATCACAGGACAACTAACCAAGCTAACACAAAAAAGGCCAGAAATAAAATTCTCTTGAGAAAGCTGAATTACCTTATTATTGGAATGCAAGAATTGCTGATTGTTGTCAAGTGTAACCCTCTCTTTTAATGACAAGACAAACTTCTTTGTATGCTCATATTGACTTTTGAGGTCTTTCCCCAGTGGAAAGAATCAGTTCAAGCGAATAAAACAGTATGATTAACATTCTCATAACTTACTTTCCAAAAGAAAATAATACATCAAATTATATGTGGATATATTTGCAAACTACAAGACTGCAATATCCCTTGCTAAGCTGACTGTCCAACTGTTTAACATCAGTTGCTCAAAGGCTTTTGCTAGTTTCTTAATAGCTCTTTAGTTGCAGTGCCCTCACACTAATGAATCTAAGCGGGCAAAACTGTTTTGCAAACAGGTTCATGTACAGAGAACATATTTTAGTGTTATTTCTTTTCCCTTCTGTTTGGTGAAATAAAACCTTCTTTAGGAAAGGATAATATTAATATTAAACAGTTCTAGTCAAAGGGCAAGCAGGCATTATTGAAAGTTTTCTTGTTCTCCAAGGCTTGTCTCACATGAATTTTATTGCACACCTTGAAATTGGGCTAAACCACAACATCTCTGCTTCAGAGTTGGTTTAGATCTCAAGCTGTGGTCTTAAACTGAATGTCAATAAATCTTTACCACAAGCTGGGCAGTCCAGCATCTTCGCCAAGTCATCGGGTATTGGGGTATGATGAGACTGATAACATCAAGACCATCTAAAATCAAAATGTGGGGCATTTTTTGCCATTAGTGGAACCGCTCATTAAGAGGCGTTAGTAAAACATTAACTCGTTATATACAAACCAGTGACCAGCCTTCAAGTAATACAGTATTTGTCTCGCTTGTGTGTGTTTGCCTCTGACTCCACTATCCTGAACGCAGTTTTGTGAATGGGCTAAACGCAGTTTAAAGCACGACTGCAATGACTCCCAATGCCAAGCTCTCATAAGGGGAACAAGGGAACTGGTAAAAACATGTATTTCCAGAAGAGCATTTTTAGTACAGATTTTCAAATATGAAACCATGCTCCTACCTCATCAGCATCCATGGCTGTCAGCTGCAATATTTTAGATCCATCTCCTATATTCTCTTCTACAGTCAGATCAAGCATATCTGTGGGGAATACCGGTGGGTTGTCATTGATATCCTGAAGTGTTATTTCCACCTGTGAAAAGCAGGAATCGGGGAAAGTTGTGTGAGCACTGTGAGTTAGACACTGATTGGACCTGAATGTTACAAATCACATAATTTTGAAAGAAATCAAGTAAATTGTTCTTAATCACATGAATTAGAACATTCCCAAATCACACCAACAATAGGAAAAGCCCCTCCGGATATTAAAATTCCACATTGTTATAAAATACTCATAGGAAAGGCTCTAACATAAATAAAGTTAATTTGACTTGTTGATAGCAACTGATTTTAAATGGTCCTAGTCTAGTTTATATTGGAAAAGATCCACTGATAGACTGTCATTGTAATCCTCAAAGTCAGCCCCTGGAGGATAGCTGCCAAGTCCTGGGGCAGGAGATCATTCAACCATTAAATGCTGCCTGACATAAAGATGAGGTGGTGTAAAATTTTCTCTGAAATGTTTATATATTGGCAACTCTCCGTTCTGAGGGAGCAAAACACACTCCTGTACTTTATATTTTTTTAAAATAATCTGTTTTTCTCTCTCTCGAAGCTCTCCTCTAATTGCAAACATAAACGTTACTTTAGAAGCACCCACTAGCATCTACTCTCCTTGCCTATGCACACCTAAACAAATGTTCTTTTCACATGTGATCTTTGTATGCTTTTCCAAGTAGTAATGATTGTTCCTGAAAGGTGGTTGTGTGTTCTTTATTCCTAGTTTTTCATAAGCAAGATTGCTGCCCTGCTGATGTTAATTCAAAAAGCTGCAGAGCTGTTTTCCCTTGTTGCCGGGTATGGCATATAATATTCCAAAAAAGAAAGAATGAAAGAGAGGACACAGCTGTTTTACATTTATCATGGAAAAAAAGAGGCTTGTTTTGGATCCAAAATATTAAACATCCACCAAACTCTGAAGACCCGCTAACAAGAAAACTGAGTCGCTGAAGGAAGTCTGTCTTCATTGCTCATCAAGAAACAAAGGTAGATAGGGCTGCTGCACAGGGAGGGAGGCAAAGGTATGGATGACTTCAAGAAGATACTTTGATTGACAGGCAAAATATTATTTATATTACAGTACCTGCCATGCCATTATCCACAAGGGATCTCCCTGCACTTAGTTGAAAATATACGGGTTAGGCTGCTCTGGATATAATCAGCGCAGACATTGCTGGTGATCTGAAGTTTACTTTCTACTATTTCTACTCACCTGCCATAGTATTTTCTTTTTGCATTCTGTTTTCATACAGACCACCAATTGCCAAGCCATTCTGACTTGATCACCAGGACGATCCCAAAGATAAGCACTTTAGTGATAGAGCCTCGGTTGTCCCTGCAGAGAAACCGAGTCACCCAGGCTCGCTTGCTCCGTCTTTCCCCAAGCTCTCGGTGGGTGCACCCTGGGGTCATCGGTCCTCTGTGGGCTTCCTCAGACCACATCCTGAAGGATGCTCCATCGTTCTGTCCTCGCAAACACAAGTGTTTCAGAAAGCCTAACATTTCCACCACTGCTAGATTTTGTGATGGAACAGATTTGGTGTGTTGTGCTACTGTCCTTCACCAAAGACCCTGAAAATATAAATTGCTGTAGGCATGTAAACACTCCGACTATACATTTGTTCCTAACACACCCATCTCTTCTGTCTCAGAAGATGTTTCTAATGCAGAGAAGGCTGCAAGGAGTTCAGCTGTTTCCCTGACAAGCATTTTTCCTCCAACAGGATTTCTTCAGAGGGTGGAGAGATCTAGACCACTGTAAACATACTACAGCTACATTGGTCTCTGGTCAATATATATGCCACATAGGGAGGCATCTCCCACCTGGTGATCCAATTCATCCCCAGTCACCTCAAGTAAGTGATCTTTTTCCTTTTAATTTATTTTTTTTTCCAGTTCGAGTTCCGTATTTATGTAGGCTACGGTTACTGTCAGCCTACCAGAACTTTTCCACAGCATTGAAGAGAATCAAAATGTCTTTAAAAACAGAGGAAACATTACATTAACATTACAGATACATCTGCTGGAAGTTTAGACAAAACACTGTTCTATAGGCCTTATGCGGCCCTTTATATAAGGCCATTACCTACTTATACCATATTTAATTCCTTTGACCATTCACAAATGGTACTCAAAACACTTTATGGCCTGAGACAAATTAACCCAGAAGGTTTTATCATTAAATTTAAATCCCTGACAACAGAAGCACAAGAAGTGCTGACTGGAGCATCACAAGCAATGATTCGACAACTAATCAACCAGACGCAAACTTTCAGAGAATAAAACAGCCTATATTGGTTTTCATGGTGACTGCTGGTGACAATTAATCACAGAAATGGGAGAGACACGGTAGAAACGACAGACGCTGGATTTTGCCAGCTATGCCTGCCAAGTGGGTCCTGCCTCACGAACTGGCACAGCAAACTACGTATGCTCTTCTGCTCAAAGTATAGCATTTCCCCAGATACGGTTTCAAGGTAAAGCAGCTGCACAGCTGAGCAATTTATTTATTCATACCATATATGTCATGCACAGCTAATGTTTCAGGTGTAGGTGACATTTCACCACCAGAACCCATTTTCATGATGAGAGATTGCCCTTTGTAAAAATCATATGAAAAATATATGACAACTTCTGGGGTTTTGGGTTAGGAGCTGTGCATTGCCTACAGCTTGCATAATGCGAAACAGTCAGAATCCAAGAATACAGATGGCTAAGGGTTGTGGGACAAAATAAATTAATTATAAAGTCAGATTCCAGAGAACTGAAAAAAAGGAGAAGAATAGAGGAAGGCATTTTATGCTGAAAAATCAGCTCACAAGTAAACAAAGACACTGTATTTTATACTGAAGACATGTTTTAGATGGTGAAAAAGTAAGAAATTGTCAAATAAGGAAGAGAAACTTTTACAGAGACCACAATATTTTTAAAGAGCATTTAGACCATGATTTACTGTTTATCCACAGGGCTTAGATAATGCATATTGCTTCATAATTCACTGTTGGCTAAGTCTAATTAGCATCCCTCTGTTAGTTCTGCTATAACTTACTACTTCAGCTTACACACAGTACTGCAAACCTAAGGAACAAGATCCAAGGATGTGCCTATTTGCAGAAATTTAACTCAAGCAGTAAATCTGTGAGAAAGACTTCAGAAAAAACTTCACATTTTCCCCAGAACAAGAGTCCATTAAGTTCTGTGCCAAAGGCCTCATTTAAGAAAGTATACATCCTGAACAAGTTCAGGTGTAAACTGAATGTCCAGTCTTCTATTCAGGAGTTCAGAAGCTAATTTCACTTTGAAATTATTTCAGAAGTTCTGATCCCAAGCAGAAGCTCACAGGACAACCACAACCACAGTGTCTTTCATTGCCATGGGGCACTGGAAGATTTCAGCATATCTTATCACATCTTTAGTAAGGAGGAAAAAGAAAAAAAAAATCCACAAAGCTTTAATCAAACATCTAAACTAAAACTCTCCCCAACCGTCTCTATCTTTCTAATTCCACGTTGCATCTGCATAAAGATTTCAATGTCCATCACTTGGATTCTTGAAATACATGGTTTGATTAAAATCATATGCTACCAATTAATAATTATGTGCAATGCTGCCTCAGACTTAATGAAGGCAAGACAAGGTGGTCATGGCAGTACTACTGGCCATCTGTACCACGGGCATCTACAGAACACGTACTGTGCTCTCAGCTTGCACCAATGGCAAAACATCCACCAGTGACAACAGCAAGTACAAGAATAAATATCTAGGAAATCAAAGGCCTCAAAACCTGAAATATGGTACAGGGAGAAAAGAAAAAAAAAAAAAGAGTTTATGAGATTTGTCCAAACCTTGGTCCTTGGAACAGGAAGGACCCATTAGGTGACAACATCTGTACAACTGCAGGAAGCAATATGCCCAGGTTACACGGAAAGTGATAACCATCACCTCCTTCTCCAAATCTATCCATCATGGGGAATATTCTTGCCTGATCTCAAACCTGTCAGTCAACGTGACTCCAGGATGCAAGCCAGAGACACAAACCAGTCGCCTGAGAATGCTCCTTGGACCGCTCAAAGTACTGCACCTATGGTCAATCTCTGACCAAGAATTTAGGCTACTTTCCATCTGACAAATTCTCGATTCCCATTTGTATCAACAGTACCTTTAAGACAGGACACAAACCTTCTTACTGTCACCCAGAGGACTCAAATATAATAAAATACAGCAGCAGCAAAGGTAGTGAAACGTGTTTGCCCACACGTTTATACCTTTTATTTCTCTAAATTGCTCTCTCTGGTGGTCCAGGCATTGATGTGGGTTTTGCTCCTCTGAACAGCCTTGAATTTCTACAGAAGCCATGAGAATATAAATAGTCATAGGCACTTCTAAATCTGTTAAGACTGTGATGGAAAACTGATGAATACATTCAAAACACTGCCTTGCCTCATTTGTTCAAGGGGAAATGAAAAAATCAGAAAGCTTTGTTCTATCCACGTGTGTGTGTAAATTTCCACAAAATTACCCTACTGTTGTACAAATTCTAGTATAATGCTTTTCCCTCACATGTTTAATGTGTCTAGAAAAAAGACTGAAAATTAAAGCTTTCCCTCACAGTTTATTTTACAGAAAAATACATGTTGCTTATTTACTATGCCTTGTAAAATAAACAATAATTTTACATATCAATCTCTATGCAAACTATCTTTTTTAGTTTGTTTTGTTTGTTTGTGTGTTTGTTTTACGTTTGATTCAACCTATATTAAACTAAGATGCAAAAATACAGATATACAACAAACCATAGAGATTAGCAAAAGTAGTGAGTCAAACAATACCACAAATTTCCCCGTGTCTGAATCAAATTTCTCATTCTGCAAGGTTAGTAGCATTCTCACAATAATGCTATACCCCTGCCACTATTACAGATGGTCAACTCATCCTCATCTGCAGCAATTTGATTGCTGCAGCCTGCTGTCACGGACATTTTCAAAGCAGAGAAAGTATTAATTACCTTGATCTTGTTAATATTCTTATTTGCCG